GTTGAGTGAGCGCATGAGACGAGACGAGACGACGAAGAAGAAGAGCTGCTGTGCTGTAGCCTCAAATTTTTGGCATGTCTAGAACAGCGGTTCTCAATTTCAGTCCTCTCGTACCCCCGCTCTGCACATTTTGTATGTTTCTCTTATTGCTTCATACGTTTGTTATATTTGACTGTAAGTGCCCTGCGAAGTGGACATTTCCGCCATGATTCCAGTTTGAAGGGAGCGTATATGTTCCATACAAAGGGCATTTAAGTGTGCGAGACGTGAATTTAAATTGTATTTATTTACAGAGGTATATTATGTCCCACTTCACGCTTCTCTAGTAAGTTTCGTTTGTGTGTGAAGACGCTGCAGGCAGCGGCGCAGCGCAAATCTGTAAATGAATATTCCGAAGTGTAGTAAATTTCAACGGATTTCCCCTGCTCAGGGAGTAGGAAGCAATGGACACTGTGTAGGGAGCATGTCAATCGGAACACAGTTTATGCACGGAGCTCACTTCTAACGAGATGATCTGAATCAGGTGTGTTAACAAAGAGAGCCGTGCAAAACATGCAGAGCGGGGGTATGCGAGGACTGGGATTGAGAACCGCTGGTCTAGAACCATTCTTACAAGTACAACACGACGTAGCTGGGCGGCGCGGACAGATGCCGAACGGCGCCGCCGGTGTGCCTACACTCATAGAAAATAATGTATTTGAATTTTAAAAATGTGGCGCAACGCTGCGCTTCTCGTCCACTGCACGACCGCCTGAAACGCTGTCTTTTCACCTCCATGCCCAAACGTCTTTGTTTGGGCTTCCGAAAGCGGATCATGTCCGGAAACAGTGGTTGCAAACAGAGCAAGGGGCGTGGCAGTACTGAAACACCGTTTAAGCTGTTCACCAATCACAATGCACTGGGAAAGCTAACCAATCACAACACATTTTGTTTTTCGGAAGGCGGACCTTCATCAAAGCCGGAACTAATCGAGCCGTTTGTGCCAGCCTGGGGAGAAAGGTATTGTAATAATATAAATTATGTGAAAAATAATGCGTTTTTCGAACCACCAAGCATGAGAGCATGTTCTAGTACACCTCCAAAACAAAATCAAGACTTTGTAAAAGAGCATAATAGGACCCCTTTAATATAGTAAAATGTACGTGACATAATGAAATAATTACTTTGTAGGTTTTACATAACATTACAATTTAAATCTACTACATGGAATCACTCACAAAAAATAGTTTCTAGGGCCCACAAAAAAATAACTGATTTTACTTGTAAGTTTATACTATTTAGGGGACTTCTTAAGGGAGAAAGAAATTTTAAAAATTAAATTTTATTAAATACATTTTATTTAAAAAAACAATATGGTTTTGTTATGCTGATAAAATGTCAACTAAAAAAAAATATACAACCGTAATCAGTACTGGTCTGAGCAGCGGCTCAGGGTTTGAATTTATGAGTTTATATTAAGGTAAATGTTTACTAAATGTGATCATGGATGGATCATTTTGTACTAACTAACAAGTGTAACAGTTTGTAACCAAGTGTTTGAGAAAGTATTTGAAAAAACATATTTATCGCCTACTATTCTGACTGTTGGATGGTTCTTTTCTCAATCAATGTTTATGGAATTTATGACTCTGCCTGTACATGAAAGTAGTAAATCAAGAGCCGAACGTATCCTATATTTACATTTTTAGAAGCACCAGTTAATGAATATAGCATCCATTAAATCAATCGGTCAGGCAGAAACCGAAGCCGTGCTAAAACACTGTAGGACAGTGAAGGACATAACGGTCAACTCGTGTTTCCGGTTTCTTGGATATCAGTCCTCCTCTGTCCTGATGACAGTCTCTCTCCCTCAGCATCAGTAATCAGTCTCATTCAGCTCTTGAGTGCTGCATCTTGGTAAGGCCAGAGTGTAACATAAAATCAATGTTTCATTAACATTTAATGACTTGGACTGCCTTAACAGCACCAGGACAGATGCATGTGCGCCAGGTTTCAGAGTGACTTTAGCTGCTGACTTGATTACAGTTTGAATGTTCTTCCGATGATCGTTACAGCACTGTTGCTTGTAGGAAAAGCTGATCCCAGATCAGCAGCGCCATTGCTGAGATGTGTAGGTGTTGTCAGGGAGGAACACAGGAAGAAGTCGCTCATTCATTCTGATTTGTGACTCTGTAGTCTTGTGTTTGTGATCAGAATTTATATCCGTCCAACAGTAAGAAGAACAGACTACAAGCACAGTTCTACTAATGCAGGGGTTTTAAACTGGGGTTAGGGGTCCGTGAGTGGGATCTAAAAGCATCTAAAAGCACTTTCAGTGTACGTTTAATCCAAGAGAAAGTAAAACATTTAGTAAAATAAAAAAGAGGCAACAGACTGCTTGTGCTATTGATTTTATTGTTCATAAACATCACTATTGGCTTTACCCTTCATAACAGGCAAAATGTAATATTAGAAGTGGAAAAATCTTTACGGTTTTACACAGGGAGGCAGGAAGATAGAGAGAGAAGGCAAGGGAAAAGAAGAGAGACAATCTGAAATCTCTCAAGGACCATATGGAGGGCTGTGAGTTGCCTACCATATGCTGAAGGCTTTTGTCATGGAAATAAGTTTATTTTTTTGGCACTTCATATTATTGTTCAGCCAGGCTGGGCACTTCCACAAAAGAAAAAAAAAACAGGAGAGAAAAAGAGGGACAGAGACAAAGAAATATGTGTAAATCCTAGTGAACAGAGAGAGAATGATTAGCATTGTTAATATTGCTGGTAGCTACAGCAGGTAATGAGCTAATGAAGTCCCTGATCCTGTTCAGCCTGTCCAGGGTTAAACGGCTCAGAAAAGGTAAAAGCAAAGGGATCTGCTTGCATGCGGTGTCTCATTATTGCTGAGATCTATATACATACATATTTACACTTGCTTCAGAAAAAATGGGAAAAAAGCATTCACTTTCTCAGTCTCTTCAGTTATCTCACGTTTCTGAACATTTGTGGTAAAATGAACTTTCTTAAAACAAAGAGATGGTGGTAGTCCTTTGGAATAGTATTTAAAAGAGCTCATCTACATTACATCAAGCTTTGCATAATTATAATTGACTCTGAATTCAAGCCTTATTACAATGGAAAATATCCAGATGGATATTCATAACAGATAGTCTGTTGATTCTTCACAGCTGTGGGTGTGTCAGAAATATGAGGGGATGATTTAGGAAAAAAAGCAGGGTGAATGTCCATTAGGGTCAGAAATGAATAGGATTTGGAGCAAGAATACCACAAAATGTGCTCCAGATATTTAAAATGAGAGGATACATTTCTACATGATATATCTGTTAGATAACATTTGTATATTTTTCATTTATGCTACCGTTCAAAAGTAAGATGTAAGTAAAGTCTCTTAAGGCTGCATTTATTTGAACAGTAATTTTTAATTATTGTGAAATATTTTTTCAATTTAAAAGAACTATTTTAAATTTAATATATTTTCAAATGTAATTTATGTTGGCAAAGCTGAATTTTCAGCAGCCTTACTCCAGTCTTCAGTTTCACTTATTATCAATGTTGAAAACAGTTAATATTGCTGTTTAATATTCTTGTGGAAGCCATGATATTTTTTTTCAGAATTATTTGATGAATATAATGATTGTTTATTTGAATAGAAATCTTTTGTAAAATTCTAAATGTCTTTACTTTCACCTTTGATCAATTTAATCAGTTGAAACCCCAAACCTTTGAATGGTAGTGTTTGTGTGTGTGTGTGTGTATATATATATATATATATATATCATAATATTCTATTCTATTTGTCTCAGACACCTGTGTCTGTGACCTCACATTTTTTAAGTAAAAATTTTCCAGCTGTTCCAGAGGGTGCATTTTTAATTTTAATAGCTGTTATTATATTTCTGACACTGATGTCCATCAGCAATGAGTGTGAAATACCGTGCAGAACTCTGCTAAGACACGTTGAGACACAGCGTGCCAATGTACAAGGTCAGGAATGGGTGGAAAAGAGGCGAAGAGGAGAAGAAAAGCGGGAGGAGAAACTCATTACCTATTCCCCACAGGTTTTGGCCCATTACTGAGATTGTGCCGTCCTTTTTATAATATGCAAAACGCTGACAGAGCCTTTGGCTGGTGCTGCACGACCTTCCTCACAAGGTCAAACTCAGACTCAATTATGCTCTCAGACTACTGTCTGTCCACCAACACCTGTTAACCCTTTAGGGGAGTGGACGCAGCCTCGGTTCACTCTGACATGAGCTGCATCATATATGCTGATGCATATTGTCCTATGCAAGGTTTCATTCCTCAGGATGGTGCTAAATTTAATTTTATTATAAAATAAGCAGCTTTGTTTCCGCCTTTTCTACTTCACAGGAAAGACAGCAAGGAGACCGCTGATTTACACGGTCACATTCTGATTGCACTTCTCATCCTTTCATCTCCAAACATCTTTCAGATCTTTATTATACAGGCATCAGCACATTGGCGCCATATGCTCAGCTATTTCCATCAATGCTGCCATTAAGCCTCTATTTTGTTTCATCTCGGTCCTGAACCCAGCACTCCTTTCTCCCAAACACTGAATAATCCATCCTGATTGGCCGTTCAGGGGGTCATTATTTCTGGGTCTAGGATTTGGGACTTCTGTTTCACATGTCACTGAAACTCTGTCATATTCATGTCATCGTTTGGCGGCCGCAGCTTATGATGGGATTTATTTGGACAGCTAAAGCCAAATTCATGAAATATGTCATGCTGTGGGTTAGTCTTTTTATAATTGCATTCAAAACTATTGCCCAGACATAAGACAGTTATATTAAGTCTGTGATAATAGTAAAAATGATGTTAGAAAAAGGCTTATTGCTGTTGATTTTCTTATTAAAATGTTGTTTTAATTTGTAAGTACAAAAAGAACAAGAATTGTATTATCTGTCGAGTTTGATTTGCACTTTCAGGGATTAATATATTAATGAATGTTTTTGTTGGTGTTCACATGTAAAAGAGATTTCTCGATTACTAAATTGTTTGGCATTTGGCAATGAGATGAACTGTGATGTCACAAATGTGGGTGGAGTCACACATACACACCATATGTAGACATTCTGGATGGTCTTAGCAAGAAATGGAGTTCTAGAAACGACGAAATGGAGAGAATGACCTTTGAGATATTAAGGAGGTTTTTGTTTATTGCCCTACATTGACTGCTAACAGGACAGCTGTGATTATACAAGTTGCTGTTCCTAAGAAGAATTATTGCCCATTAAACAAAGCATCACACCTGAATTCATCTGCTTTCAAACACTGCATACCGTCCCTCTCAAAAAAAGAATAAAATCCCTCTACAGCTGAATCATGCATATAAAGATTTTCATTAAAGAGCAGCATCTTAAAAGTTAAACGGCAGTTCAGTATCCAATAACACAGAGAATAATCGACCAAATAAATAAATAAATAAGTAGATAGATAGATACATAAATAAATAAATACACATGAAATAAATAAGAAAATGAAAATAGTGCATAAATAAATACATAAATACTCAATAACATTACTGGAATGGTAGAAATGAGGTTTGTGTGATGGGCGCTTTGAGAGCGTGGACAGAGCAGAGGTTAGAGGTCATACCTGCCTCTGGGTGAGGTAATCATGGAGCAGGAAGACAAGGGGCGGAGCTCCAGGCATCTGGAGCACATGCAGTCTGTTTTAGTGTGAGGAAGCCCAGCAGAGCGAGCAGAGATGTTGTTGAAAGTCCCTGTCGTCCGTATTTTGAATGTTTCGAATGTTTGGAGATCATTGAAATGTTTAATCTTGAGTGCTGTTTCCTCCGTATGGTAAACACAGAGTGATGGTCGCTCTGTTCGAATAGTTACTGGACATGATTGGCACAATAAATAAATAAACAAATAAATAATGGAACCAAGAAACGGCAGGAAACTTTGAATATAAAAATAACAATTATAAATAAAATACCAAAAGTGTAACAAAAGTTTGTACCTTTTCAGAGGTCTACAATCTTTTTTTTTTTTTTTTTTTCAAATACTGTCATTATTCATATTTTCATAAAAAGTTCATGTTGGCAGTTGCAAAAGAATTCAAAATAAAAGAGCAGCATAAAAATACAAATTGATTTCATTTCTCAAAAAGCACAAACCTGTTGCTGTCTTTTTTGTCTTTTTATGATTTACTATAAAACATCAGGAATCTAAATATTATTACTATCGTTATTAATAGTATTATGTTCATAAAAATGTGCATGCCAAGCCTCATAATTGTACGTATCTATATGAGAGGGTCTTATTTTACTAAAGAAAAAAATCCAGCATTTATTCATTATTGTCTTCTTATTATTGGGTTGGTTTGGTTTTTTTCTTGGTGAAAATATTGCTTTCTAAAAAAGGGAAAGTGGGGTGTGTGAAGGGAGTCTCTGGGGGGATTTTTGAGAGCGTTAACTCATCTTCATCTTTTCTCTTTTGTTAATTCTCGGAGCCAGACTCGTCCTCGTCTCCGGAGCCTCTGAAGCAGGCGGACTCATAGTGCTTGTTCAGGTAGGACTTCAGCGCGAAGGTCTTATTGCAGCGCTTGCAGCTGTAGTGTTTGAAGGCCGAGTGCGTCTGCATGTGCGCTCGTAGGTTGGACCGGTCGGCAAAGGCTTTCCCGCAGTGGGCGCAGGCAAAGGGTTTTTCTCCCGTATGCGATCGCATGTGCCCCTGAAGCAGCCAGGGCCGGCTGAAGGCTTTGCTGCACACGTGACATTTGTGCTTTAGGTTATGAGTGAGGATGTGCATGGCCAGTGCCGGCATGGACACGTAAACCTTGTCGCAGGTGGGACACTTGCGTGCCATCTTGCTGTCAAGGCTGCGGTGGGTCTGCTTGTGTCTGCTCAGGTTGGATGAAGTGGCGTAGGTCTTTCCGCACTCATTGCAGGTGTGTCGGGAACCTCCGTTGTTCACCGCCGCCACTTCTTTCTCATCATCGGCAGCTTTCCTTGCTTCAGCGACCTCTCCCTTCCTCCTTGAACGACCGTCAGATATGAAGAACGCATCCATGGTGTAACCCTCGCTGAGAGATTCGCTCTCGCTGTTGAAGTATCCGCGGGCCGTGAGGCCGGACTGGGGGCTGTCCGGGTGCTCCAGGTCCGGTTGGCAGTACTCCCCTCCTCCGCTGCTGACTGGGGAGTACAGTGGATCTGAGCTCAGCTTCATGTCGGCCTGCTTCTCCTCTGTGTATTCAGAAGGGCTGATGCAATCCTGGATGTAGCCTGCAGCAGAGCAGAGAACATGAATAGGTTATTACCTCATTGACCTTTCACTTCTACACTGAACTCAAGGTGTAAAGCAATTAAAGACACAGATGAAGTACGCTACAGACACAATGTGAATGTCTGACACAACAAAATAAAAGTACAACAAGTGCAATGACAAATACACTGTTAAAAATAAAGGTCCTTTATTGGCAACTGTGTTTCCATGAAGAACCTTTAACATCCATGGAACATTTCCATTCCAAAAAAGGAAGAAAATGGTTATTTTGATTATTAAAATGTTCTTCACACAAAGGAAAAATAAAGGTTCTTTTAAGCACCAGTCACTGAAAGGTTCTTTCAGGATCCCAAAATAGTGTGGCATTGCTGCGAATGTTCCCCTTTTGGAACCTTTATTTGTAAGAGTGTAAATACCTGTTTCAGTGATATAGTTTGTATGGTGGAAACCAATTTTTTCTACAGATTTTTTATTTATTTGCCAATTACATTTTTATTAATGTATTCATTCATTCATTTTTTATTTAATTTGACATAATGTGACTTCTTATCTCAACATTGCGAATTTGTTTTCACAATATGAACTCTTAGCTCACAATTGTGACTTTACATATAGCAATGTGACTTTGTATCTCAAATGAGAGTTTATATTTCATAGTATGGCTTTATATCTCACAATTGTGATGTTATTTCTGATTTTAAACTTATTTATTTTTTGCTATGATGTGCAGATGGGCTTCCACAGTTTCTGATGGCTGTTTGAGGACTACTGCATAGTTCATTCATGTAAGTGTGTGTGTGTGTGTGTGTGAGAGAGAGAGAAAGAGAGATTGAGACCCAAAGGGTTTTAACATGGTTAATGGCTAATTAAGCAGGTTAACTGTGGTGGAAGCATAACTGTCTCTCTTTCTCTCCATTATCTGAGGCCTTCCTTAGAGTTTTGTGTTTATATGTCCACTGTGCACAGCATAATCTGTTAAAAGTGGAAGTAAAGAGAGGTTGACATTACTCAATAACAATACTGGAATGAATGGATTTAAACCGTTTTAAGGAAATCTGGACTTTACAAAACACTTTCACTTCTCTCCGAAGAGAACCGAAGCTCTTTCCCAGATTTCAAAACATTGAAATTGTTCCAAACATTGAAGTATATTACAAATGTATTTCCTAATACAGGACGTCTTATTACCTTTCTATCTGCTGAAGCAAATAAACTCCCTCCTAACTTCTCTAAACTGATTATGGAGCCCTCTGACCATTAAGAGCGAGTCTTAATGCATCGTGAGGGTCATTCAGGAGCTGCTAAAAGGATTTCTGGCAGCCGTGGGGCTTAGACACGTTTATTGCCATTGGAATTCCACCGACATAATACACCTTCCAAGGTGCCATGTCTTCAACAAAATGTTTATAATTAAATCTGTGTGCTAAAATGGAAACCCAAAAGGCATTAAATGCAGTGCAGTATCTGTCTAAGCTAGTTATACATAGAGACTGAAGACAGCAATGAGCAATAAGGATGCAGCTGGCCAGGAGAAAGATCAACAGGATCAGCAGAGAGACTGAGAGGATGTTATTTGGGACATATAACTACATTGTCCACACGTTGTCTTAGGGGTTTTTCATAATCATATTTTCTGTCAGAACATCTGACTATAGGTATTGTTACCAAAGTAAAACTGTGGTATTAGCAAAGAAAGAAAGAAAGAAGCTTGCACAGTTTGAATAAATAGCATAAATAATCTGAATATAACTATAATATAGTAATACAATCAATAATATAAAATAAGTAATTCAGTAATGCAATTGTCACGACACACACACACGAGGATTACCGGAACTAAGGAGCGAGGAGACGAGGAATATACGAAACAGTCTTTAATCCATGGAACACAGGGTACATAAACACAGGAGACAGCAGGAAACACATCCACGCAATGAGTAGACCAGACAAAAGGGAAACTGAACAGGCAGGAACTTAAATACAAGGGTAATTAATAGAACACAGCTGAACGGAATCATAATTAAACTAAACAAAGTCAGGAAAAAAAACAAATAAGGAAACACAGAAAGGCACATGAGGAGCAAAACACACTCAAAACACGGACCAGAGTCTGACAAATCTCCCCCCTCCCGGAAGGCACGTCCCGCGCCGTACAACATCCAATGGGGAGGGGGGGTGGGCTCTGGAGGCCTCTATGAGCAGGGGTACCGGACGGAAGGCCTCCAGGGCGGCACCCGTTCTGGTATCCATGGCGGATCTGGTAGCTCTGGGCGCCATGGCAGATCTAGCAGTTCTGGGCGCCATGGAGTCTTCGGAGCGGCCGGCGAACTTTACTTCGGAGCGGCCGGCGGACTTGTCTTCGACGCGGCTGGCACGCTGTAGTGAGCCGCGCCTGGTGGGCATGACAACGGCACGGCCGGCGAACTTGACTTCTGAGCGGCCGGTGGGCTTGTCTTCGATGCAGCCGGCGGACTGGAGTGAGCCGGAGCCCTACTACCCCCCCCCCCCCAAATACTTGGGGTCGCTTACGGGTTCCAAGGCCCTCCGTGGGCCATGACAGGGGACTGGAGCCCTCCCTGGGCTTAACTGAGGATCTGGAGCCCTCCCTGGGCTTAACTGGGGATCTGGAGCCCTTCCTGGGCTTACTGGGGAACAGGACCCCTCCGTGGGCTATACTCGGGAACAGGAGCCCTCACTGGAGCGAGCTATGGGGCTGGAGCCAACACTGGAGCGAGGTCTGGGGCTGGAGCCGACACTGGAGCGAGCTCTGGGGTGGCCAACAGGCCTTTCTTCAGAGCGGCCGGAGGGCTCGACTTCGGAGTGGTCGGCAGACTTGACAATGGCGCGGCCGGCGGGCTTGTCTTCGGAGCGGCAGGCGGGCTTGAGTGAGCCGTGGCCGGCAGGCATGACAACGGCGTGGCCGGCGGGCTTGTCTTCAGAGCGGCCGGCGTACTTGACTTCTGAGCGGCCGGCAGGCTTGTCTTCGACGCGGCTGGCGGGCTGGAGTGAGCCGTGGCCGGCGGGCATGACAATGGCACGGCCGGCGAACTTGGCAGCGGGGCGGTCCTCATACCGCGGGCAGAAGAAAAGG